TATTAAACCCCAAGTGTTACAATCACCCCCACTTAGGAACGCAACGTCATCGTTGCGCCCTTGAACCAATCTCAAATCTCAATAAAATCCCAGAATCTTCCCCCGCTAAGTGCCCGCCCGATATCCAACGGGTCATCACACTGTCGCGGGGTTGCTCTGATACCACCTGGTAACGCCCCTATTTCCCTTTTGGTTTTCCGCTGTCTAACTCTGATGTTTTCGAATAAAGTTAATATTTCTTGTGAATAAAGTATTATTTTTGGGTGGGAAATTTGGGGGTGTTACATCTACTGCTTTGAAGAGAATATCTCTTGCAACATTATCAAGATTGTTCCTCTTCCTGTCTTCAGTTGTCCATTCCATTTTTGGTTTAGGAATGTATACATCTTCAGTTCCTTCTGTGGCTCTGGATGTGATGACTTTCATAATTTTGATAGGCCCATCAGTGATCACTTCCAGCATTTCATCATGCAAAGCACTGAGATGTGCTTTCATCCTGATTTTCCAATCATCAAACTTGTCCAGGTTGAACATGAGATTTTTGGAAAGTTGGTTATCCATTTTTAGAAAGTTTAGGGAAGCAGTTGGCTTTGGATCTTTAGTTCAAAAATAGTCAGAAACTGACTCTAGGAACACACTTCTCTGATACCACTTGATGGTCCCGGATAGAGATAAAAGTCTAGAGGGGGGGGGGGGGGTGAATAGACTTTTATAGCTTTTTCGTCTTTAAGAACTTTTCCCTTCTAGATGAGTTGATCTATAGTCTTTTGGGAGATTAATAGATGCACAGCGGAAGTCTTTTAACCTCTAGAAACTCAGTGTATGATAACTTTCTAGTCTGGGTGATTTTTAGACTGATTATGGAAGGGCAGTAGGCTTGGCAGTTGGATGATGGGTAGGCGACTGCTGAGGCAACTGCTGAGTTAGCAGTTAACTGAAATGCAGGAGACTGCTGAGGCAACTGCTGAGAAAATATTGGGTGTTTGAAGAGGGTGATGATGAAATGTTGCTGAGAATAGTGAGGGCTTTTGAAAATGTGCTTTAGTATATGTAATCAGAAGTTTTACTGGAGTAGTGGTCTCGGCAGTTGAGTAGTGATGAGGGCACTGCTGAGGTGCCTGCTTGGTTTAGAGGGTGAATTTCAGAGAGAAGTTTGGTCAACCTCTTCGTTGGTAATGTTATGAAGGTCCAGTGATATTGAGATGATCAAAAGAAACAAGTGTATATTAGCAGAGGGCTCAGCAGTTGAATGGACACCAGGGGACTGCTGAGGCACCTGCTATACTTGAGAATGGATTCTTGGAAAATGATCTGATAGGTCTTTTAGTGATATTGGTGCACGTTTCTTGTGTGAAAAAGGTCTCAAAGAAAGTGAGTAATTAAGCAGTAGGATAAGCAGTTGGGTCTGTTAAGGCAACTGCTTAGGATGCTGCTGGCAAACTCCAATCTTTTTGTGAGAAGTGTTGGTTGTGTGCTTTGTTGACTAACATAAAATCAACACACGATGTATCCTGGTTCAGAGGTGGTGTAATCCTCCTACATCCAGTCCCACCCTCTTTCAGATGGATTTCACTAAAGTATTAAGCCCAATACACTTAGTGTCAAACCAGCCTTTACAACACTTAGGCCTAGATTGAAGGTTTTTCACAATGAGTATAGCACCACTCAAGGTTACTCAGTCCTTAGACTTTTCTCTATTGAACCAGTGGGGTTCAAAAGGTACTCTTATCTATCTAACTGCACTTTAGGAAATGAACAACTGTTCTCCTAAGTGTTTACAATAGTTTAATACAAGAAAGTTCTAACCTCCAACTAGATGCTAAACTTCTAGAATTTTGATGGATGTTTGTGACTTGGAAGTTTAGTGAAGCATGAGTCTAAGCAGAGAGTAAAGTTAAATGTGCACTTTCTCTTTTGCTAGATATCTCTTGTATGCTTAGAGTGATTACTCTACTTAGAAGACTCAAAAACTTGGTTTTAGAACTCATGCCTATGCCTTCTTTTATAGGCTTCTCCAGTAGGTTGATCTCCTCCGTTGGTTGAGAGGATTCAATCTTATTCGCAGAATGAGGTGTACTTTTGTTCACTTGTGCTGGAGCTGATAATGGAAATTTCCTTTGTCTTCACTGATTAGTAGCTAGAAGATCAAGTCAAGGATCAATCTTCACGATTTGGTGTGTGCAACCCATCTTCTTTGGTCTTCGTACTGTTGAGCATTTAATGCTCTTCTTGTCTTTGTCTTCAATCATACACATGCAGTGTATGTGTGTGTGTGTTTGTGCCGTGTCTTATTATATTATGTACCAAATGAATTTGTACTGGTAGGATCAAAGTCTCCTTCTAAGGTAAACAAATTTTACCTTATTGTAATTATTAGTTTCCAGTAAAATTTATTTGGTACAGAATTTATTTTGTCATTTCTTGATCAGCTGATTATATGACTTGATAATTTTATGTACTAAATAAATTTATACTGGTGGGATCTGAATATCCTTTTAAGGTAAAAATTTACCTTATTGCATTTTAATTTTCCAGTAAAAATTTATTTAGTACAAAAATTGTACATTTTAATTAGTCACAGTTTGAGAACCTGATCAATTCTTAATTTAGTAAGAACACAGGGCATAATGACTTTTAGTATAGTGACATCATCAAAACCTTATCAAAATTGGGTACTAACATTTTGGCATCATCAAAAAGGGGGAAATTGTTAGTACCCAACGATTGATAGATTTTGATGATGTCACTATACCAATAAATAAACACCTCCACCACCTAATAATCATGACTAATAAAATGTATCAAATAAAGTATACTGGAAACTTAAAATGCAATAAGGTAATTTTTGTTACCTTAAAAAGGATATTCAAATCCCACCAGTACAACTTTATTTGATACACAAATAAACAAAAGAGTGGAAAGTGTTGAACGAATGCATCAAATAAATTTCTACTGGAAAATTAAAAATTCACTAGGGTAACTTTTTTTTTTACCTTAAGGATATACAAAAGATTCTTCCAGTACATAATTTACTTGATGCATAGTAAACACGCAGGGATAAGATGCATAACAAAGGCGTAAAGCTAAAAAGCATTTAATGCAAGGTTTGTACATGGGTCCCTGAAGATGATAAGAGATAGAAGTGATCTCTCAGAGGAAGCTGATCAGTGAAGATAAAAGGAAATCTCCTTATCCTGCTCCAACACAAGAAGACGCAAGTACAACACTTTGGACGTCTAGGATTAAATCCTCTTAACCAACGGAGGAAATTAATCTACTGAAGATGCCTATAAAAGTAGGCAGAAGCATGAGTTCTAAAATCAAGTTTTTAAGTTATCTAAGTAGAGTATTCACTTCAAACATTCAAGAGATATCTAGCAAAAGAGAAAGTGCACGTTAAACTTTGCTCTCTGCTTAGACTCATGCTTCACTAAGCTCTTAGACTAGATCATACACGATTACACTTTTAGAGCTTAGTTTCTAGTTGGAGGTTAGAAATTTTCTTGTAAACAAATTGTTGTAAACACTTAGGAGAACAGTTGTTCGGATCCTATAGTGTGGTTAGATAGATAGAGTACCTTTTGATCCCCACTGGATCAACTGAGAAAAGTCTTAAGGTTTGAGTAACTTGGAGTGGTGTTATACTCCTCGTGAAACGCCTTCAATCTAGGCCAGAGTTGTCAAGGCTAGATTGGCACTAATTGTATTGGGCTGAATACTTTAGTGGAAATCCATTTGAAATAGAATGGGACTGGATGTAGGAGGATTACACCACCTCTGAACCAGGATACATGGTGTGTTGATTTACTTTCATACATTCAGAGCACACACCAAACACATCTCTCTAAAGGTTTGTAGTTTGCCAGCAGCATCCTAAGCAGTAGTCTTCATCGACTCTACTGCTTAGCCTACTGCTTAATAACTCACTCTCCTTGAGAGTGTTTTCCACTAGAAGTTATCTTACACTCAGAAGGTGCCTCAGCAGTACCCTGGTCTTCACTCTCCTGCTGAGCCCACTGCCCATCCATACGTGTCTTTCCGAACTCCATAACAAGGCAGAACAAAAAGCCTATCCAAGAGTCATCCTGTTTCTCAGCAGTTGCCTCAGCAGTCTCTTGCCCTCCAGCCAACTGCCAACCCAGCAGTTGCCTCAGCAGTGATCTGCCCACCAGACAACTGCCAAGCCAACTACTCACGGTTTAAAGTCCAAACATCACCAGAACTAGAAAGATTGTTTCATACTGATAATCAAGAGGTTAAAGACTTCCGCTGTGCATCTACTAATCTCTCAAAAGGTTATAGATCAACTCATCTAGAGGGCAAAGTGTTTCAAAATTGAAAAAGCTTTAAAAGTCTATTCACCCCCCCCCTAGACTTTTACCTCTATCCGGGACCATCAGGAGGCTTCAGTGGCTTCAGAGAGCTACTCAGGGGTGCAGTCTTCAAGCCCGCAACCCCTTTCTAATAATGACTCAGATGTTGCCCATGAGGTACAAGACAATCTGAGGACTGATGCTGAAGCCGAAGAATTCGAGCAGATGGTGGAGGATGAGGAGATGGCCATCGCGATCCAAGTGGCCGAGGAGGCGGAAGAGAAAGAGAGGTAGCAGGTGACGGTTGGTGTCCTCCCCCCTCGGAATGCTGGAGAAGCGAGTAGCTCTCGGCCCCTAGACCCTGAGCCTTTAGTTGTGGCCCCGGGTAAGAAGAAGAGGAAGCAGAAGGCGTCGGGTCCTTCTAAAAAGAAGCTGGCTGCAGTCGATGCTGGGCAGCTGGTGGGGATTCCTGAAGGCCATTCATACCTGAACACCGCCGCTCTTGATTTGAAGACAACGGCCAAGGCCCCTGATTATCATGCCACACAAGTTCTCGTTGGGCCTTCGGCGCAAGTGGGGGAGCCCAGACGAGAAGATCTGCTGTCCCAACCCCCCGAAGGGTGTTTCGCGGTGCACATCCTCTCAGTGGAATTGGGCCTCCGTGTAACACCCCCAAATTTCCCACCCAAAAATACATTTAAATAATGATTTATCAGAATTATGCAGCGGAAAATTCAAAGGGAAACTGGGGCGTTACCGCCACACTCGGTTCTCACATAACCGAGTGCACAGGCTATCCACCACCACAATTAAAAATTCTCGTAATTAATTGTTCAACTACAATTCTTTAAAATTAAGACTAAAATAAATTACTCAATCACTTTAGTCTATGTGTTCTAGCGGAAGCTCTCGAAATCAACTTCAATATGATCCTCAATTCCTGCACAAATAAAGTACAGAAAGAAAAACACAAAGAAACAAAAATTAGCTGGAAATGCTAAGTAAGGCCCACCCAACCCTGTAAAATAATCATGTTTGATACATATATATCATTTTGTGAAAACATTTGGGAGGAAACCTTTTGAAACACTTTATACAAACTTCTCATCACAAAATCACATGTAAAATAATAATATTCCAAATATAGGTACAAATTTCCAAATCATAATAATTCTAAAATGTCAATACTCAATATACATAAACCACCAAAATTCTCGTAAATATTCCAAAACATAAATTATATGTAAATCTTTAAATATATCCATCTCAAAATACTTCCAAATACTCATAATCAATATTTAACATAATCATATCAAATCAAATCCAAAAGTATTACTTTGGAAATCTACAAATAATTTAATAATCTGAACCACCTCAAATTCAATCCAATCCAAATAATCCAAATCACCTCAAGTCCAATGAAATTCATCTCAAAGCCTCAAAACCAATTCACCTCAATGGAATACAAGTCCAATTAAATCCAACTATAATCCAATCACTCAAACTCTATCAAAACCAATGGAATCCGAACTCCTACCTTAAGTGTGCACACCCCCTAAAAGAGATTCCAAGCTCTCCGGGTAGTAAAAAGTCCGAGTAGTCGGGATTTTTCTACCGACTACTACAATTAAGCTGGGATGCTCCACTTTTGGGAGATCCCTGGTGGAATTAGACTTATAGCCATTACCACTCACCAAATCCACATTTCTCCGAGTACTCACAAAAATCATAATCCAATCTCAATTTCAAGTATCATAACATCAATCAAAATGGATATGAAATCCAAATTCCACAAAATTATTCACAATGAAATTATTAACTCCAACTCATCATACTCAAATATACCATAAATTGTCCAAAATATAGGATACTTCATAAATAGCTCAAATCTCAAATCTCAATCCAATAACAATTCATATGTAAATTCAAATGCTCAAAATATCACCCAATATAAAAATACTCAAATCTCGAATATATATAATTCACAATCACAATTGATACGTAAAATCTCATTAACTATCATATACTCAAATGATCTCAAATAACTAGTCACAAATAAATTTATATGGGAAAAGCATGAAACTTGGTTGACATAGTACTTACCTCGAATCGCGATACCCTAACCGAGGCTTCTACCTTGATCTCCTCCGATCTCACCTTCTAGAATATGAAAATTCTAGAATTAGATCGAAGTACAATCTATTTTTGTTATGCTATTAGATTTCTGGCTTAGAATTCTTATTTCCGAATTGGTTTAATTATCATTGTTATTATCCTTACAATTATAAATTACTACGGAGTATATAATTAGTTAAGTCTTGTTATCACTTAGAATTCTTATTACCGAATTGGTTTATTATTATTACCAGAGTATATAATTATTATTAATATTAGTTAAGTCTAATTAAAATTAGGCAGCCCAGATAATCTGTCCAATTATGCCAACTTAATCTATTAATTTAACCATATCAGTTTCTGATATCGACTAGGCCAGCAGAATTGATTATTATAGTCGGTGTATGTTTATCGTTTGTCCAGGTCAACAGCTATTTTTTTCTTTGAAACCTGGCAGCCCATTTTAAATACTTCGTAAATTTCTAGCCCAAAGATCATAAAACAGCTCAGCCTATTATTATAAATTTAACGCCGAGTATTACTTACGTAAAAACAACGCACGGTCGTCTTCTTCGTCAATTTCCCGGACCGGCGAAACGCAGCAGTCACAGCGAGCTCCAGCCTTCAGGTATTCCGTCTCCCTTTCGCGGCGACAAGTCGGTCACCCAACGAAGAAACCCGGCGTGCAGAAGTGTTCGGCCGTCATTCCAGGCTCCGACATGAATCAGTAGTTAGCGAGTAGCGACGGTCAGTTCCAACGCCACCAACTCCGGCGTGAGATCTGGATGGGATCTCAGTTAGTATTTTGGTCCGTCAATTACTTCTCTGGTGCAGCAGAACTTCCGGGAACAATGGCGGTTTGGGTCAGAACTCCCTCTCCGGCGAGGTGGTGTGGTGGAGCTCAGCGGAAGCAGTCCACAAGGTAGTCCCAGCGACTTCTCTTTTCCCCGTTCGTCCTCCTTCGTCAGTGACTAACGACGGCCGATCAGCTCTCTCTTTGCAGGCCGAGGCTATGTAAAATTTATGGTCTGGGTGTTTTGGTTTTTGGCGTCGCAATGTTATCGTAGGATAATATACTACCAGGCTTGTGGTTTTTTTTTTGTTTTACGCAAATCCGCAATCGTGTAAACATGTATATATATTTGATGATTCTAAGGTCCAGAGTTTCGTATGCCTCCAACCTTATCACATGTACTACTTTATAGTTAGCCGACCTTGCGTCCCAATACATTTATTTTGGTGTACTACCAAATTTATTATTGAAGTATTATTATGGAGATGCTGAGTAAGGAAAAAAAACAACAACAACTGTGCTATCCGATTAACTATTGACATTTATGTGCTGGAAGGGAAAGCCAATAATGCATGTGAAAGAGGAAAAGAATTGTGGTGCATATGGCATGGGGTATATGAACATACGGACATGGCATGTGGCCTGGATATGGCATCCGATCTCTATGTTTCTTATGTATTAAGAGTATTATTGGTGTGCATATTATTATGTGTTATGTATAATATTAGGTTTGTAAAGTTAATTTCTCTCGCATTGTTCTTTCTGTACCTTATTTAGTGTATTTTTGTACACATATTATTAATAGATATGTTTAACTTAAATTGTTAAAATGTCACTTTTACCACTTGTTAAAAACTGTCACTTTGTTATTGAAACATTTTCATCTGATTAAAAATGTCATTGATGTTAAAATTTTATCTGATTCACTTAATTATTATAATCACTTATTTTATCTGACTAATAAAATTATTTATTTTATTTAAATTTTCGGGGTGTCACACTCCGGTTTCCACTTCATCCTTTCTTGTTGGAGTACCTGAGGTTTGTAGGTTTAGCCCCCTGCCAACTGACGCCAAATAGCCACTCGTACATTTCCGACTTCCTGTCGTTGTGTCGGAGCTGAGGGGTCACCCCGACTTTGGATCAATTCTTCTTATCTTTCAACCTCTGCCGAGGGGGGGCAGCCAATAGCGAGGGTTTCGCTAATCTCCAGCAGGTGCCGGCATGGAGAATGTTTTCCGGAACCCCGTCATCCCACAAATTCTGGAGGGACAGGTTTTGCTTCATTCGGATGGCGGGGGCTGAATTCCCGAGGCCTCTCCGCAATCATTTTAGGAGGCATTTGAAAGTGGGGAGCGCTGCTCTGGAAAAGAATGGGGCCAAACTCACCAAAAAACCAGAGGGGTCCGATAAGGTGATATCTATCCAGGAGGCCACCCTTCCGGAGGAGCTGTATAAATTAGACTTCCGGCAGTTTTGTCTCCCGGCGGATACATATGAGAAGTATCCCGTACTTGACCGGGGGTATCAGAGAGCCAGAGGTTGTTGCCGAGGGCTCTTGTTTTTAGTACTTAGCATGTTTTTGCTTTTCGTTCACTTGCTTGATTCTAACTTCCTTTCGTCCTTTTGCAGGTGATATCATGGATCCGAAGGCCTTTGCAAAGCTGTCAAGGAAGTTGGCTAAGGAGCCAAATAAGAAAAAGGAGGAGGGTCCTTCCCACCAGTCGCCAGTAGATGCCTTTTTCAAAAAGGATGGAGCTTCTAATGCTCCTGAGGGTGAGGGGCCCTCGCTGGAAAAATCTGATGATGACGTCGGTGCTGGTGCCGGGGGCTCCAAGGCTGAGGGGCTCAATAGGAAGAATGCCGGAAGGGCGTCAAACCTCCGGTAACGAAGAAGCCAAAGGGGGACCTTGATAAGAAGGATGCCCCTGTTGTGATAATCGAGGAGCTCTCCTCTCCTAGGCCCCCGGCAGACATTCCCCCTTGCTCCCTTCTGCCGCGTAATGATGAGGAGTCCAGCCCTGCTGAGATCATCCAGTTCCCTATCAAGGTGGGGACCGCTATGATGCAAGGTACCTTGCACCCCGTCGGGTATCTTAGGGGTGTAATGTCCCCGAAGGACAAGGGTGTGCTGTCCCATATGGAGGACGAGATCCTTGATTACAAGGTCGCCAGCTACAACACCATAGTAAGCCTTCTTCTTAATTCCGTTGTTTTTTAAGAATTATTGGCGTCATAACAATCTCAACCTTCGGCCCAATGTGGTGTTCTGATACTAAGTGTTTGTCGTATTTGTGTTTGTTTGCAGGCTGCTTTGGCTGTTTTTGAGCAAGCCCGACGGGTGGAGCAATTGAGGATAGCAATGCGCCAAGCTGTCGAGGCCCTGAAAAGGTCGGAAGAGAAGGTCGCTGCCCTCCGGAAAAAGCTTGAGGATGCTGAGAGTTTTCTTCGCCAAGAGCAAGAGGCTTTCGGCAAAATTCTTGAGGGCAGCAAGGTGGTGTCCAAGGCCGAGGGCAAGGCAGAGGCTGAGAAGGTTGCCGCTGAAGCTGCCAGAATCACTGCTGAGGAAGCGGAGAAATCCAAGGCCGAAGCTGTCTCCAAAGCTGAGGGCAATGCTATAGCCTCCTTCCTAGCCGAGGGATGGAAGGCTGAAGAGCACAAGCAGTGGCTTGCTTCGGTAGTGGAGGCCTCCGCCGATTGCTGGGTGAAGGGCCCTGGTGCATTGTGGCTCGTCCGAAAGGGTAAAAGCTTTTATGAGGGTGGTCAATACTTCACTCAGGCTATGCTCTACCGGAAGCTGGCTCGGCACTTTGGCGTAGACCCGAAGGACTTCGATCCAGCTTCCTATGGCCTCCCCCCTCTATTGCCTGATATCAGGATCGATCTCCCTGAAGGCGAAGAGAGACCGCTGCTCGAGGACTCAGAGCTGGATAGGCTGGCATCGGATGATGATGGGGATGTTGAGGATGACGCAGCCTCAAGGCCGAAGGATGACGCCCAAGTAGCTGATACTTAGGATTTTTTGTAATATC